AAACTAGAAAATGCAAAATGCAGAGAAAGTCTCTGTTATTCTCAATAAAAAGAATCCTATTACTCTCTTGGCTGAAAAATAGATAAAGCCACTGATCACTTTCTACTGCTGATACAACTAAATCCTGATTCCTCGTCTTTCTGAATTTTTCCACCCATCTATCTTTTCCACACAAGTGAAGACCCAGCTGCGACACACCTCAATGCACCTGAAACGCACCTCACATGCACCTTGTCTCAGTGCCTTTTACTAGTCCCTTTACCTAAAATGTCTCCTGTCATCTCTCCGTACCCCAGTAATGGCCAAAGGAGGAGGTGAACCCCTAAGATCTCACCAGTGGGAATGTAAAATGGTACAACCACCTGAAAAAACAGTATGGCAGTTTCCTAAAATGTTAAACATAGAGTTACCATATGACCTAGCAATCCCACTCCTTAGGTAGCTACCTAAGAAAATTGAAACAATATGTGTACATCAAGACTTGTACACAAAGACTTCACAGTAGCATTATTAATAAATAGCCTAAAGTTCAAACAAGCCACATGCCTATCAACTAGTGAATAGACAAAGCAAAACGTGGTATAACCATATGATGGGATATTAGTCAGCAATAAAAAGGAGCTAACTACCGACTAATGCTACCAAATGGATACAACTCAAAAACATAAGTGAAAGAAGCCAAATGCAGAAGACTACATGCACTGAATGATTCCATTTACATGATATGTCCAGAAAAGGCAAAACTGTACAGAAAGTAGATTATTGGTTGCCTGGGGTTTGGGTTGGGAAATAGGAATTAGCTACAAATTGGTGCATGGGATGTTTATAAAGTGAGAGATAGAAATAATCTAAAATTTGATTATAGTATTTTTACACAACTCTAAATTTTTCTAAACATGAGTGAAGTTTATGATATGTGAATTATACCTCAATAAGGGTGTTAAAAAAAAGATCTCAGCAGCTACACAGCCATGCACAGGGGCTCTTGGGGGTCCCATACCAGTAACACATGAGACTGTAAGGCTTACATGACAGAGGGGTGCTCACACTGGCATCCTTGGCTCTGCCATTCATTTATGTTTGGGGGCCTGAGTCCTGAAACAGGTGGAGTGACAACTACTTGGCTCACTGCCATCCTATTCACGCCAAAATGTCAACTGGCAAAGAGCTGAGGTGCCCGCACCTCGGGTTTAAGTGCAGGTACTTTAGGTAGCACTCGGTATTTCTTCATAGCAAATCTGTCACCTGGTCTAGCCCAGCCAAGCCCAGGTTGGAGGTGGCAGACATTCTGAAAACAGAATTTCAGGAACAATCAAATGAACAAATTTAAGAGTCAACCTGTTTTTGATAACCTAGAGACTTCGGGCACTTTCAGAAGGAGGAAAAAGGTAGGAGAAGAAAAGGACTGGGTATGTGGTCTCTGTCATAATTTACTGAATTCACACAACAATAAGAAAATCTGCTTACCCATGACCTTGGTGTTATAAGGCTGCAGTTTGACCAACTGAGCTAACTGGCCAGCCCCTGGAATTTCTTCATAAAGGGTAAGTACTCCTAACACTTATATCGGAGTGATGTTTTCTGTCATATTCATAGCAGTGCTCAATTTTAATTCTGCAAATCTGAATTTAATAAACAAGTGTCTGATCTCAGAGTAACTGTTTCTAAGTTTGCAAATCTCACACTAGCCACCACACTCTAAACATCTGCAATCTAGACCTCATTATTTGGGGAGTCACAAGCAACAGGCCCCGTCACTGAAAGCATTTATTAAAATCATCCTCTGAATAAAACAGGGGCAATTTTAAAAGCAAAACCAAAAAACCTTTCTAAGCACTTTCTATACTACTTTATATTCAAACAATATGCTTATTATGAGAAATCTTACTATCAGTTAAAACCACTACTGTTTAACTTAAAAGTACTGGAAATGGTTTCTTTTCATCACATCCTATAGTTTCTAATTAACTTTGATAAACAACATCTTTTATATCCTTTACAATAGTGACTTGAAAGTTTGAGAACTTTCTGATCTCAGGACCTCTTTCTTTATACTCTTAAAAAAGTTATTGAGAACCTCAAAGAGCTTTTGTTTATTGTAGGTTATATTTTAACCATATTTTCTGTATTAAAAACTAAAACTGAAAACAATTTTAAAATATTTATTACTTTGCTAAATAAGCTCATTACATGTTAATATATACACCTTTAAAAAAATTAAACAAGCCTATATTAAAAAAATTAGTGAGAAGGGTAGTGCTGTTTCACGTTTTGCAATAGGCTTTCAAATAACTGTGATCATTTTTCTTTGATACTACATCAAAACTCAACAAGTGGTTAAAACTTAAAACTTGGGCCGAGCCCGTGGCACACTTGGGAGAGTGCGGCGCTTGGGTTCGGATCCTATATAGGGATGGCCGGTGTGCACACTGGCTGAGTGCGGTGTGGCTGGTCTCAAAAAAGACAAAAAAAGGGCCGGCCAGGTGGCGCACTGCTACAGTGCGCCGCTTGGGAAGTGTGGCGGCGCTCCCGCCGAGGGTTCGGATCTCACATACAGACCGGCTGCTCACTGGCTGAGCGAGGTGCGGGAGCAACACCGAGGGTTGCGATCCCGTAGCCGGTCCCGGTCCGGTACGGGTGTGACACTGAGGGTTGCGATCCGTTGCCGGGCACGAAAAAAGACAAAAAGGAAGAAAAAAAAAAAAAAAAAAACTTAAAACTTGACAAGTTTCATAAAGGTCAGCTGCAGTGTGGAATCTGAAACCATATCAATGAACTTTTCAAACTGTTAAAATCTATTAATGATCTATATAGCTCAGTATCAAATCACATTTGTTAATATCACTGTGGACCTCATCAGAAAAGTCGTTTAAGTTTTGGGAAGCTGTCAAATTCACTGAGGTGAATACAAATTTCCCAAAATTCTAATTTTCATTTGAAAGCTTGAACTTTATCATTGGCAACAAATAATGTCAGTCATTTTCCTTGACCTGACAGCCTCACTGCATTCGCTCTAGGTTCAAGATATAATAAAATTCATAAAGAACATTCTTGGCTTGACTGACTGGTTGTTGTTTTCTAATTGTGCATGCATTCTAGTGGCAGAGCTGCTGCCTTAATTCATGCTAGAGTGTCAGCAGTTTTACCCACTGCTTTTGTACCATCAATGTGAATATCAGCAGAGTGCAAAAGGCAAATCATGTCTCAACGTTACAATGAAAATATTTTTGACCTTGTTAACCCATTAAAAGGATACAGAAAACCCCCTAGGGGTCCATGGGCCACATTTTGAAAACTGCTGTGTTAACACATAATAACTGATCCCACAACCACCACTCAAATCACTAGAAAGCAGCCATCAATTCAGAAACGGAAAGCAACTGTTATTGCTTTTTCAGATTGTGCACATGTATTACCAATCCCATAAATATTAATATAACACGTAGAAGGCTACTTTCACTACCCAAATTTCAATATGGAAGCACAAAAAATGAAATCTAGTTACCATGGAAGAATAAAAGAAACCAAGCAAACTAAATTTAATATGCAAATTTCCCCCCAAGGAATTTAGAACATATTTGTCTTTAATTTATCGAATTGTTCCCACATTTGCTGGGTTTTTTTGTGTAGGGCATTTGCTTGGTATTAGAGATACAAAGAATCTTAGGTTGACAGACCCTGTGGTCAGGGTCCAGAGGGCGTTAAGCAGCCAGGAAACAGAGCAGAGGTACTAAAGTCAGACAGATCTGAATTCAAGTCCCAGGTCCCCAACCTGCAAGTAGCCTGTCCTTTGTAATCTCTGAGCCTCTTTTCTTAGTTGACTATGAGGCAAATTCCACTTAAAACTGTGAGGACTATATGAAATGCATGTAAAGCATTCCATGTAGCTCCCAGCACACAGCAGGCATTCAGTAAATGGAAGCCGCTATATGAATAAGGCCCCCTAAAGGCCATCAGTCTAGAGGAGAGGAGTACACACATCCAAGTAATTATGTTATGACACAGCATGGGAACTGCTTAACTGCTAAATGCAATGGGAGTAAAAGAAAAATCAATGGTCAGCTTAAAAAAGGAAGGTGCTACAGCAGAGGAGCCACTATCTCAAAGGAAGAGGAGCAGTTGGCCCGGTGGTAGAGGAGGAAAAGGAAAAAAAAAGTACATCCAGAAATATATAAGGTGGGGTGTAGGAAGGACAGGAGGGGCCAAGAGGGATTGGCAGAACCCAAGAAGAATACACTGTAGTATTAGGTCGTTTAAGGCCTTTAAGGCCAGGCTAAAGGGATACAAACATTTGAAGCAATTTTCTTTTATTCATGTAAAGACTGAGAAATTACAAACTCTCAATGCTAGTAGGTTTTCTGGTCTCCTGCGCCACACCCCCCACAACTTCCCAACACACAGTATGCCTGCTCTGACCTATTAGCAGTCCCTGGGCCTGAGCTGGACTAGTGGAGGAGGGACAGCCAAGCTCCTCCCAGAGGCCACGGAATGTTAGCAAGCCCCAGCAGCCGGGAGGAATTTGCTTTAAAACAAATTTGCTTGGAAGCGCAAATGAAGCATATCCTCTTGGATGCTTATGAGATCTTGAAGCATGTCACTTTATCTCCATCCCAGCACCGGGGTCCTATACTCCAATGGAATTTATACGTCACTTTGTTTAATGGAGTGAGAAGAAACAGAAAGAAAGTACAGCGCCCCATGTTTTCCAGTGTGACTCCAGCCATCTGTGAGTCACTGCATGAGTGAGCCCTGAAGCCCAAAGAGGCCACCCATCTGTCTCTCTTGCCCTTTGGCTGGGACAGCAAATGCCACCTGGTGCACAATGTGGATGCATGAGGACAGCCCCTCAGGTGCGAGCCAGTGGTCCCTTGGCAATTCTGCAGAAGCACACGCAGGCACAGTCAGTATAAATCCATAGCTGGCTATGCTGCACTGTGCTCACGTATGAGACATGACCACTCAGACAAAAACCATGGAAATCACAGCAATGTCTTACTCACCCAGAATTTTACGAGGAAGAAGGCATTTTGAGGGCCCTTTCCAAACAGTTCCTTTAAGCCACCTTTCTTTTCAGGAAATTTGTCATAAATCTGACGAATGTCCACTGATTCGAGCAAAGGGTCACTGTAAGAATGGTTGGCATGTCCAATGTGCACGAAGAGGTGTTTGTTGTACTGTAAGAAACCAGCAGAAACATTCCCATTACAAACTCTTTGATCAACCCAGGACGCATCTGTCTTGAGCAGATAAGGAGCAGTAGCCTGGAAATTTTGGAATTAGGCCTTGAATAGCCTAGGGTCTGTGCCTTTGAAAAGACGAATATGGTAAGAAAAGCTGTTATGGCTTAAGGTTAAAACAATCATCATCTTTTATGGACAAGGGCATATATTTTCCAAATGCCTAAAAAAGACTTTTTGCAGACACAATAATAAACAACAATTTAAGTAATCTAACAAACCAAGAAATAATTCTATTACCTGGTTTCACCTGACTTAACTGCAAATGACAGCAACACTCTTCGGAGCCCATTATTTATAGTATAAGCCCAATAAGAAATACACGTGGAGTTAGATAACTTCATCATCCACACAGAATGCACTTCTTGCCCAGCTCCCCTAGCAACAGCATAGATGCAGTGGTCTGAGCAATGGTACCCACTTCCTTCAGAAGTGAGAGTGCTGAGCTACTTTGTCACCTGTCCCCTTAGTAACCAATCTAAAACTTCTACGTATGAGCTAGTCAACATGTAGTGGTCAGTGCAAAGTTAAGGTAAGGGGTATAGATCACTGAGAGGATCTACAAGGCCATATGTGGTTGTCAACAAAGAACACAGGTCACTCATTCATGAAAAAACAAAGAAAAACCCCTAAACACTGTTAAGTCATTTAACTTACAAAGGACACCCTTTCTTCTTCTTGCTTTTGGTATAAGACTGGACCACAAAAGAGCATGTCCAAACCAATGGTTCTCAACCCAGGCTGCATCAGAATCACCAAGGAGCACTCACCAATGCCTGGGCACATCCCAAACTAATTGAAGTCTCTGAGAATGAAGCCAGACATCAGTTATTTTAATGCTCCTTGTGTGGATTCCAATACGCAGACAAGTTGTTTTTTTTTTTTTGTCTTTTTCCGTGTCCGGCAACGGATCGCAACCCTCAGTGTTGCCCCCGCACCGGACCAGGGACCGGCAACCCTCGGCGTTGCTCCCGCGCCTCGCTCAGCCAGTGAGCGGGAACCAGTCTGCATGTGGGATCCGAACCCTCGGGCGGGAGCGCCGCCACGCTTCCCAAGCGGTGCACTCATCCAGTGCGCCACCGGGCCGGCCCCGCAGACAAGTTTGAGAACCACTGAAGTAGACACTATTCCAGACACTCCACACCTCACCTCCCCCCCCGCCCCCCTGCTGAACAGGCAGAAGCACCAACTTAATGCCACACAGGCCAGGAAATCGGGTGGTGGGGGGAACTACAGGGGACTCAGAGCCAAGCAGTGTTCACAGAGAAACCCCATCTCCACCTTCTTCTCTTAGCAGTGCCTGCTCACTTCCCAATTCTCCAACCACTCTGAGCACTGATCACACAGGAAGTCCCAAATAACAGAAGGCCTGGTCAAAGCTGCCTAGCAGGAGAACTACTATATATTGGTTAAGAATATGTTGTCTGGACTCAGCCTGTTCAAGCACACACCTTTGTGCCCACTAAAAATTAGCCATGACACTGGGCAAGTGCCTCCCCAGTCTCCAAAATGAGGACAGCGATGGCATCTTCTTCACAGGGTTGTTCTAGGGTTTAAATGAAATATCATACCTAACCAGTTTATCAGAGACCCTGGATTCAACAAAGAGTAAGCACTCAATAAATGCTAGTTATTATTTTTTTATATACATAGAAAATCTCCCTTTGAGATTCACAGCGAATATCAGCATATTAAAAGCACTGCCATAAGGAAACACTTTTTAACTTTGTATAACCCAAAGTTTCCCAAAATCAACTGGTCACAAAACCCTATTAAATACATCCTGAGGAAGTACTGGTTTAAATCCGGGACCTGCCACCCACACCATGGATCTCTGCCCCCAATGGCAGACCTCCCACCTGACGCCATTGATGCATATATAGGTCGTGTGACCAGGGCAGCTATCTTCTGGAACAGGGCCAACCTCTCTCCTGTTCAACATCAGAGTGATAGCTTTATCAAGGCTTCAAAAACCCTAAAAGGTATCAGGTATAATGAAAAAGAGGAACCTATCAAGCTCTTACATGGACCCAGCCATATGGACTAACTGCCTGGCGGATTTCAGGTAAGTCTGTGAATCTGTTAACTACTACAGAAGAACTGAGTCTGGCTGTGCTGGAAGAAATTTTTTTAAAAAAGAGTAAAAAGTAAAAGCCATTTTGTTAGGGAGGTGGGATTATGGGGTGGGAGGAGTGTCTTTGGTCTTTTTATAGATTTCCCAAATGTTGCCACATCATCTTTTCAGTTCTAAGCAAACAAAAGCCCACAGAAATGTATGAGGCCCGGTCACAGCTGCTAACAAGCTCTCATCAGTGGGCAAAAGGAGAAGAAATAACATAAGCAAAATTAGAGGCACAGACACTGGCGTAAAGGCCACCAGAGACACACAGATGGACATGGAGCGAACGCTTCACGTCCAGCTCCTCTGGTCATCCTCTGTCGCCCGTCACTGCAGGAGTGAGGGCAAAAGGTGCTGTTCCTTCACTATCCAGACAACTGGCCATCTGTACGTCCATCCACCCAACCCTTATACTCTGCTTGCAGCTGGCTGTCAACTCTGCCCAGTTCTGGGAGGTACCATTTCTGTCGGTTCTAGCGCCTTCGTGTAGGCAGTGAGTTTATGGAAGAGAATGGAAGACAAGCAGAGCCTTGGGGACCCCATGAATTGAATGAGTCTCCCAGTTGGGCTCCAACCTCCCAGCTTTACTCTCTCACCAGGTGCCCGTGGGCCGGGCCAGAAGGGGGTTGAAGTTAAGAAGCTGTAAAATTTGAAGTCTTTTTGCTCTTGATGTCAAAATGTCCCTCCACTGTACTATTGGAACTCAGGGACCACAACCCTGACCTCTGCACGTCAAGAGGTCAGGGAGGTGAATGGAGGGTAAAACTGACCACATTTCAGTGGGGGCCAGGATGGCACAGCTAAAAGGCAAGGTGCTGAGTACAAACCACAAAAGCTCTGGAGCCAGACACAAACCTGAAATCTTAGTTTTCTCACATGTACAGTGGGGATATATCTGTACCACAGAACAGTTCTGAAGACTAAAGGAAATAACTCACAGAAGGTGCTTGGCATAGGGCCTGGCATATAATTGTAGCTGGTAAGACTGCTATTGTCATGGCTTATTGTCATGTGAGATTAACTAGATCCTGGGGTAGAAGCAAAAGAACTTTCCTGAATTAGCTATCCCTCCTGCCTAGCAAAGAAAAAATAAACACAAATAAGCCAAGAGCTGGGAGTAAGTTGTGAAGCCAGAGAGGACTGCTCCAGTCCTTGACTGTGGCCCACTCATGACCAGCTGCTTAGGGTGTGGGTCTCTCAGTGTGTCTGAAGGAAGGAAAAGAATCTGTGCCCATTGAGTGCTGTGAACAATGTGCTTTTTCTATATGTGATCTCAGGTGATCCTTGCCTCATGACAACGTTGTAGGTAGATTTTATTAAGATCATTTTACAGATGAGGAAATAGAAGCTTAGAGAGGAGCTGACTTGCCTGAGGTCACACATCCGGGAATAGTCCTGGAAAATTAAGAATAAAACTTGGATCTGTCAACACCACAGCCCTTGCTGCAAACATCAATCACACCATCTCCCAGAGGAAAATGCCTGAGCCCTTTTAACTCTGTCAGATCAACTTTTTCTGAAAGTTGATTTGAGGAAAAAATAAAACCTAAATAGTGTTTTCAAAATTTTATGAAATTAAGTTAGAATTTGGGACAAACATAATGATCCATAAATGCATCAGATAGAGTCCTCAAAGGTTTCTATTTTAGGAAAGTTACCTCTGTGCCCAAGTGGCAGAAATGAACAGAGAAGGGGGGCAGGCTGTCTTTGCCAAAGGAAATCGGGCACTGCCTCTCCAAGGCTGGTGACTTGAAACCAAACCTTGTCCATTGGCATCTGAGTGACTTTATTCCTGCCAAGAGGTGACTTTGTTTCTAAGAATACAAAGGACTAAAGAAGGTGTCCTGGAGACCACAGCAGTGAAACAAACAGACCTCCCTCTCCCCTTAATTCAACCCAGGCAGGTCAGGAATCCCTCTGCTCCCAAATCCAGAGGCTGAAAAGAAGAAATCTACCTGACATTTTTGGGTTCAAGTTTTAATGAAATTAAAACTCTAAAAACCATTTGGTGAGGCTCTAACTTCTTCCCATCCTGCCAGTTCTCCTTATAAGGGAAGAAGTCTAGGGTGGATTCTTCACTTTCCTCCCTTTGTCCCAAATAAATCCCATTTTTTCTCCAGCAATGGTAGTTTCCCCAAAACTATAAAAAAAAAAGGGGGGGGGGGGCTCTATTCCACAGAGAAGAAAACAAAGACTCACAAAAACCACAAGTATTTGGGGCAATACATGAGGGAAACAGGGCGAATGCCAGTGAGTCACTTACGCCAAAGCCTAAGACTAGATTTCAATATCTAAAACAGAGGCTAACTCTTACCAAAAAAAGAGTTAACTCTTTTTTAAAAAACACTAAAAAAGTCCCCTAGGCACTCAGAAGAAGCACAATTGACCATCAACACATCAAGGGCCACAATGAAAAAGGTACTCACTCTGCATCTCTCTTTTATGAATTTTAATAGAAGAAACCAGCACACTTGTCATCCATTACATGCCAGGCATTGTGCTAGGCTCAGGAAATCCATGAGCCAGCACCACCCAGTGCTTGTCTTCACAGAACCTGCAGTGTGACTATACGGAGCTGGCGTATTGCCTCTATAGTTACAATCATGTGTTGTTCATACAAATATATGCTCTCATAGATTCCTATACAGAAGACAGTGTTATTAAAGATAGTCAATACCACCTCTCCTGCATATCAGATGGCTTAAATCAGCTTTTACCTGCTCTTTTTATAAGAATGACCTTATTCTCCATAATTAAACAGAGAGTGTTATTCATTAGCAAGAAGAACATTTATGGAATTCACCTAGAAAACATGAAT